TAGACATCACTTTTCTCTGTTGTCCAAGTAAATAAAATACCCTAGATCATAATAGTTTATTCTTTTGTTGAGGCAAACATTTCAAAATTATAGGAATACTTTTGTTATTTCTGATTGAATATCTCAGTGTAAACAACGGGAATAATATTGCAACACTTCTTAGATATTGAACCTGCAAAAGGTTAGCATTTCTTTGTGTAAGTTTTGAAAAAAACCCATATATTTTGGAGAGTATAGGTTGTGTAACCTGTTCTCTTCTAAGAGTAGGTTACTGATTTGAGCATGTTTCCACAAGCATGATTGCCAAAATGGAAGTATGTGCTTTCTGACACTTATAGAACATGAAGCTATTTGGTAAAGTTTTGTCAGAATCCCTGGGACATTTTTAGTGGGACTGTCAAAACCTTTTAAAAGAGATAAGGCAAACAACAGTCTCTTTTATGTTTTAAACTAGTCCATGCAGCTGGGTTGCAGAGCTGGTCCTTGTTCCCAAGAGGCCACCTCTGTGTCCAAGCAGTCAGCTTTTTTTGCTTCCCATTAGTCTCTTCAGCATCTCCCTACAGTTTCTTTGATTTCTGTGCCTGGAAGGAATAGATGTGAATGCTACAAGACAGTTAAACTCATCCAGGTAATAAGAACAGCTGAATCCACTGGTAGGGAATCAGTATTTATTTCGGTTTCTTAATTGTATTTTGCAGTGCATTTGGACAGGGTAGAAGAGACAGGAAAGATCTGCTGAGTTATTTTTACCTTTGGGGACCTGTCTTCTACCTACAATATCTGTACAACGATTTTATGCTTCTGGCTAATGTAGAAAAATTGTTGTGTCTTCTAATAGCTTTCAACAAAGCTCACCAGAACTCACATGAGGGGCTTCAGTATATTCCAAAAATTCAAATAAATGGAACAAGAAGCAAGGCATCAGTTAAATAAAAGTCATGAGGAATTCCCCATGTTGGGGAAAAGATTGGAACATCTTCCTTCTTGGAGTTAAAAAAACCAAACTTTTTTTTTTTTTTCCTAAAGTAAGGGTAAGCAAACTGGATTCTATTAGATATTCTCACAATTAAAACATAATTGAAGTATCTGGATGTGATCAGTGTCACTGGCTTAGTTGTCCAGTCCAGTATTCAGTATATGCACACATTTCTTGGTTTTTGCTGTCATTTGGAAAATCATACTCTTGAGCTGTTAAAGTATAGATTACCTTGCTGGGATGATTGTTCTAAAGGACTGTTTAGTATTTGGAACTGTGCAGGCTGTTAGTTTCCATGGTGTAATCTGGTTAAGCAGTCATTTCCTGGGAAGTTTCCAGACTTGCTGAGTCAGTAGTCTGGCTGGCTACCAGGAAAAACTAATTTATCTTTCTAACAAACCAGGCAAGCCAGCTGAAGGAGAAGGTGCTTTGTGGGGGAGATTCTTGCTTTTCCAGTGAAAATAGGGTAGTTCCTGGTTTCCTATGCTTTCAGGGGCTTAAAATTGTGGCATCTGTCTGATGCTGGGAATGCTGAAAGTTTGAGTTGAGGGATCTTGACAGGACTTTTGGATGATATTGGGAGGAGAAGCTTATCTGACAAGAGGGAGGAGGTACTCCTCCTAATCAGTCAGTCATCAGAGGGTGTGGAAGACACTCTAGTTGTGGCTGCCATGAGTTATCTGTCACCAGCTTCCCTTCCCCTGCTGCCTTTGAGCAGGACCCAGGGGGCACATTGCCTCTGGCTGGAAGAGGAAGGGAGATGAGTCAGGCAGATCAGGCCTGGGCATGCAGGAGTGAGACCAGATCCATGAATTCTGATGTCTTTTCTAGCTTGGGAGAAGGTGAAACTTGGCTTTACCTCTTGACCTGAAGGCACTGTAAGCTGAGAACTGCTGGTACCTTACATGGCATGCCGTGCTGCTGGCATGTATCAGCCCAGCACTTGTGGAATGGCAAAGAAAAGCTGAAATACTTTTCTCTATAAATTGAAGACTGACATCTTATGGTAGTTTAGTTGGTTTAGTATCCACTACTGCTTGAACTGTAGAGAACACTTAGGAATTACTAACAAAATCTTAGTTAATTGTCTGTTCAGGAACACAACTTGGCAGGCATGTGAAATGAGACTTGCAGTAAATATTTCAGAAATTATAACTGTGCATTGACTAATATAAATTTTGAGAAAAAACCCCTACCAAACAAGACAACAGAAGCTTTATTAATGGTAACCCTATTTGATCAAGGCTGATGGTATGATGAGTAACTGTTTCAGAGTTATCTCAGAAACAATCAACTCAATGCAGAGCATCTAGAATTCACTTTTTGTTCAACCTGACATTTTCTCAGAAACATACACTATCTCATTAAAACTAAAAAGTTTGCTATCAATCTGGGGATAAAATATACCAAATAATTTGTCCCACATTTGTATTGTACCCCACCTGAGATTTGATCAGACATCTAGGTCAGAACCAAAGCTATAGGGAAGACTGTCTCTCTCTGTTAATCATAGCTGCCCAAGATTAGTCTCAGTACAACACTACTGAAGTTTCCAAAACCTGCGAGGCATTTGGTGAGGAAAACTGCCAAACCAGCTCTCTAAAATCCTTTCAGCATGAAGGTACCTCGGTGTAAGTAATTTAGACTTTGTTTTTAGTAGTATTTGGTTGCCAAAATAAATTTTGATTAGGCGATAATTTGGAAAATGAAGGCAAAGAGTGATCATAGAAAATGGGTTTAATTTAGATATTAGTCAGGACTCTAAGAGAGATGATGGCAGAAGAAGATATTTGGATCACTTTTACTGCAGATAAGAATAAAATTGTCAAGAAATAGATCTAGTGATAAGGATGGTAAACTGAAATATTAATTTGTTACAGTGACATAATGAAAGCAAGCACTAGAACTCTTTCCCTTTTCAGTTAAACTTCATTTTAAGACACTAGCATCACTACATGCAAAATATCCATTGAATGTCCAGATTCAAGAAAGAGAGCAAAGTGTTGTGACTAATGCATTGCAAGTAGTTATTCAAATTGAGACATATACTGTAGGAATTATTTTATTCAAAAAGAAAATGTTCACATTAAATTGTAGTATGCCACAAGTAAAACTTCTTATAGGCACTGAAGAGCAAACTCAGGGCTAGGTCTCTGGTTGTAGGGTAAGGGTTGAGGCTGTAACTTGTAAGGCACTGAACTAGGACTATGAAGTAGCATCAGTCTGGACCAAAATTGTTTCTATTCTACACAGGCATAAAACTGAGAGAACTGCTTCTCTATTTCTCACTGCTCCTTGTGAGCTTTGCCCTGTCCACAGACACTGAGGGCTGTAATTTCCAGGTGACTTGCACTAGCTGAGCAATGCAGCTCGTGCAGAATCTGTGGCTCATTCTTCTGTCCTGATGGTCTCCAGCCTTCCATTTTACAGGCCTGTTCATCTTGACTTTGTAAGACTTAGTGCAATCTGCCTTAGAAATATTAGGCAAATTTTATTAGTAGTTAAAAAATACTAAATAAATTTTATCTTAAATTGAGACTAATTAATTGTTTGGGTTTTTTTAATATGCATGAGTGCTTTGCAGAGCATGCAGATTTAAACCTCAGGAAGTAATAAACCCATAAAATCAGAGTATGTACTCAGACGTTTTCCACTTTTATTTGTGATAAGGAAAAGACAGATGCTTTCTTACACTACTTTCAGTCTAGTTTCTCTGTGGTGCCCATATATACCTGCCTCATGTATTTTTGCATATTTTGTCTTTATTTGAAAGGACTGTGTTAGTACAGTGAATCTTTATGCCTCTTAGAAAAGACACTTAATTCTACAGCATAATCAAAGAATTTATCTTCATGGCAAGAAATCTATATGAACTCTGTAAGGAAGAAATTTCCTCCCTTCCCATGGCAAATACACTGTGAAGGCAAAACCTAGAACTAATTACTTAGGTTACTCCAAAAGTCTCAGACAGAAACATATAAATATGTATTTTTCTATATTTGGTGACTGGGAAATAGTAATCAGATGGAGAAATTTCTATAGCATTATGTATTTGAATCTAAGCCGTGTTTCAAGTTAATGTCTACCTGAAGTTTCAGCTACTACAGTTTTTGAACAGTGCAGGCTCACTCTCAGTGATTTGTTTTCTAGCCTTTAGTTATCAGATTATTTGCAGATGATAGTGAGAAGAGGCTGAGTTTTAAATAATTAAGCTGTATTTTCTCACTTTTTTTTTTCCTTTCAATGTTAATTGTGAGCATAGTTTGGTTGTTTCTCAAGGGCAAGTATTAGGAGAAAGCAGTTTTCTAGGTGAGTTGTTTTCTGGGTTAATTATCATATGTACACCTAAATTAATTTAGTAGAGAAAATAAAGTAACTCTTTTCTTCCAGAAATTCTTTGGATTTCACGCCCTAGACTGTGTCTCTCACATCAGATATGTGTGTGTATATATATATATATATAAAATAGCTTTAAAGGGGAGGTGTGTGTGTATATATACACACAAACCTTTAAGTACCTATTGTGATCTATTGTGCATAATCTAAATGTGGTATGGTTAGTGAGAGCAAAAATTGTAAATAAAGGGGATAGAAAAACTAATAGTTTTTCTATTGTTAACCTACATGCATATAGAATAACGTAATAATTTTCTACAAAAAATACAGTCTTTAAAGGTTACTTTTGATGTAAAATAGGAAGTAAGAGGTAAAAATGTTTTTTATCAGAATGTAAAATATTTTTCTGAGAAGTTGTAATGAGCATTTTAATTTTGATTAATTTCTTTTTTTAATAAAAACCTTTTCTGTCACAATGTGAAGTACACGATAGTAGTGTTAGCAAAGGTGTTGTTTAGTACCATTCAAATTTTTCAAAAGCAGTCTGAGAGGGGCATGATGCATGTTCTCTTAGTGTTTAAAGGCCTGACTTTTTATGACATATGACAGTGTTACTGAAGTGAGGGAATATATGAATATGATCTTCTTTTAAAAATGAATACAAAACTCCTTTTTATGTATTTTACAGCAAAAGACACCGTCAGAATCATACACTGGGCGAGAGAAGAGGTCAAATTCACAGTCCTACATTGGACGACCTATTCAACTAGACAAGATTTTACTGTCAAAGGTTAAAGTGCCTCATACTTTTGTCATCCACTCCTATACACGTCCAACAGTTTGCCAGTACTGCAAGAAGCTTCTCAAAGGGCTTTTTAGACAGGGTTTGCAGTGCAAAGGTAAGTAAATGTCCTTTAGGAACATAAAAGCTAAGCATAATAAAATTAATAAATTAGTGTTTGAATGGTTACTATGTAGCCTTATTCATGATTTCCTCACTAAACTATCTATGTGTCGGCACATGTACAATTACCCTGGATTAAGCTGCAGTCAAAATTACAGTAATTGGTGTTCTGTGGGAGCTGGCTGCTGGCTGTTCATTCTTACCCTTTGGTGTATGTGCAGTAGCTGACATTTTTCATTCAGGTGTAAATGATCTTGTATTTGGCATAGGTGAACCTGTGCTTACAGCAGAATAGTTAACATAATGGACTATATTCTTATCTTCATTGTTTTCAATCCACAAAGTCCTGTGTGTGAATTGAAGCATATGCCTGAGCCTCAGCAGCTCAGTGTTTTGGGGAAGTTGTAATGGAAGTAAAATAAGATGGGGTTGTATGAGAATTTAAACCCACATTTTTTCAGTGTGATTAATGTGCTCTCAAGTCTCATGGCATTGTATACCTTAGTAGGTGCTGAAGTGAGTCAGGCCCCTTGGATTGTAGCCTAGACTGCTGGCTCACCTTAGCCAGCCTTAGCCAGTAAATACAAAGCATTGTGCATGCTATGGGGTTGGAATGTTGGCTAATGGATGCTTAAAATCGCCTTTCTTCTATTACAATAAATAATAACTATCATAAAATTAATCACTATACTTTGTGTTACTTCTTTAAACCCTGCAAAAACTAAAAGTTGCTTTCATTTAACTTAAGGTGTGATTCTGATACAATTTAACTAAAGCAAAATATCTATCCAAGCATCACCTGCTTCAGTTCATTTTGAATCCTGGTGACCTAAGCAAATTAACCTAATTAAAAAAAAAAAAATATATATATATCTGTAGTTTGGCACTGCTGTACCTCTAGTTGTTTTTTGCATCAATCTTAAATATTTACAAGGATATAGGCAACCTTAGTATATTTTTTCCTTCCTGACTCTGGTTTTCCTGGTGTGTTAGTAACTTACAGCTCGTAGTTTAAGTAAAATGTGTTCATAAGCCAAAAGAAAACAATTCCCATGACATCTAATGAAGTACTTTACGCATATGAAAGAAGTAAAAAAAAAAAAATTGAAAAATAGGGAAAGGACTGAAAGAACCTGCAGTTGCAAGCTGTCTAGAAGTTGCCTTGAGATGTAAAAGACAAATATTTTCTCACTTAAAATTGTTGGCTAGGGTTCTCCTGTTTCAATTTTCAGTCATCAGTATTTCCTATGTAGTCAGTCTCTGAACTGCAGCTGATACACTGCAGCCCCTTCTGCTTCTTTCATTGGAAAAGCAGCTCTGGCTTTGGAGCCAAGCACTTGTGTCTCCTCATCACTCTTCTAGATGAGTCGAGCACAGCACTTTGGCTGCTGTAGTGCTGCTCCACCCAGCTACCCTTGGAAAGGCTTTTTTTCCCCTCAGAAATGTGCTTCTAGCATCTTCATCCTGTTCTTCCACTGAAAGGCAGCATGGAGCCAGGCTAGTGCACACTCTCTGAACATATGACTTGTATTAATGAAATGATAGGGCTTAACATCTATAGGCTGGAGAGCAGGAAAAAATATAATTGTGTCCCAGAAAAAGAAATAATTTGGCTGTATCCCTTTCTCACTTATCAGACTGTAGATTCAACTGTCACAAACGCTGTGCTCCTAAAGTGCCAAATAACTGCCTGGGGGAAGTTGCCATTAATGGAGGTAAGTTGCATTAACAATTGTTCCTGTAATTGTTTAAATCATCAGTTAAATTAAAGAGAAATGTAAAACTGTGACGTGTACAAACACACATTTTTCCATTGCTGGGGAGTGGCTTTTGCTCTGCAATATTTCTGTTGTATGTCGAAGAAGAAGTGCAGGGGGAATGCTGTGAGTAGCTCATACATCGTTAGTTCAGAGTGTGTTTCTGCCAAATAGGCAGCACTGGCAGACAGGCTGAGCTCTGCCACAGAGGTGATGTCAGCAGCAAAATGGCCCTGTGATAAAGCCTGGGAAATGCAGAATGCCAGAGGAAAGCCAAAAGCCACACATGAAAAGCTGGCACTCACCTGGCAGCTAGAAGCACAAAATTTTCTTTTAATGTGAGGGGAGAAAAAAATGGTTATGGATATCTTCCTGACAGGGAAAAACATACCTAGAAGAACGAGGAATGCCCTTCAGAAAAAAATTCCACTATTTACTGATGGCATAAAACTAATCATACCAGTTGCCACAAATCGAGTCCTGACTATCTGCTGATTTTCCCACGTGTGTGCTGCTGGTTTCGTGTTAAGTATAAGGGTGTATGGGCAGGCTTGACAGACGGTACTGGAGGAAAAAAAGGAGTGGTTGTGGATGAGTTGTTGATCGCCTTGAAAATGTCACTTTCCTGTGTGATACGGGAATGAGAAGTGTGGTGAAGTGCTCAGTTTTCTAATGCATATTACTGTGTTAAGTTGTCAGCCTAAACTGCTGCTGAGGTTAATAAAGTATTACCTTGTGATGCATTCTTTTTCTGTTAAATCAGTGGTCTACTTTATTGAAGATATACCAAGAAATTCCAAAATTAGGAATGTTAACTAATATTTTTCACAGTGTTTCTCATAGTAGTGTTACTGTATTACTATGAAGTTTTTATGTTCAATAGGAAAATTACTACAGATACTAAGTATTCCACTTGAAATGTGACAAGGCACATGGTTTTCTGGAAAGTAAATGATGTCTTCCTATTGAATGTCCTGACTGATGTACCTCTCGCTGGACTCTTGGAGTCACTATTATTTTTTGTTTTTTAATCTTACACCATCTATACCTCACTTAACCATTAACCATCCCCTAACACAACTATTTCTTCAGGAGTGCAAGTAATGCTGCCAATGAAAATTTGTGGTTTGGTTTATAAAAACTAAATTATACACCATGACATGTTAATTACATTGATGGGAGTATAAAGTTTTCCCTGAGATTTGCAGTCAGAGAAAGTAACTAAATCTGTTTATAAATGATAAACTTTTTCCTGCATTGATGCAGTTTTAGAGAGGAGTGATTGATCTAAAGTGCTGTGAAAAGACAGGAAGGAATATAAACTTCGTTTCTGCACAACTGAACTAAATGAACAAAATTTACATTTCTTTCTGTATTACTACTCCAAATTCCCTCTTTCCATCTGAGGCAGCTGTATTTCATCCCTCCAACACACCCCCTCTGCCCTCTCCCCACATTTGCTTCACAAGCAACACTCGACTTTTGTTTGGACTTTCCTCCTGACACGTGAATGTGATGCTGGGCTAATGGGAAGTGATAGTTTGCCTCAGCAAAGCTTATGCAGAGTCACTTGGGGTGAGAACACACATTCTGGGCTTACTCCAAGTATATTCCTTGAAGGTTGCAATCGTAAAATTTATAGTTTGGCTTTTATACACCAAATAATATTCTTAGTATGATATACATAGAATCCTTGTAGAAATCGGAATTGTGTGTCCTGAATGATTGATAGAGAGTCCCTGGGATTATCAAAGGCAATTTTATCTTGCATCTCATTTGTATTTTCACGGTAATTTGGTGCACATTATTTTCAAACTTAATAAACAAAATACAGTATCTGTCATTTTGTCCATCTGCTGTGTGATGCATCTTCCCTAAAATAGTAGGTGAAAGAAGAGCTGAAGCAATGAAATTCCAAGTATAGTGTCATTAGTAAATTCATTATATACTAAATGTAAGGAGTTATTTTTAACTGTTTGTAGGTTTATTAAAAATAGAGATTTTAAAAGTGTTATAGGAATAGCAGAGAGCTTTGCACTGTGAAGTGTAATTCATGACTGAATAACTGGTTCTGGTAGAGTTGAAGTATGTGTCTCTTAATCACACATCAGTTATTTATATCCAAATATCTTAAGACTACTGTACATGAAAACAAACTTTTCCGATGTGCACTTCTAATTTCAGTGAAATGCCATAAATTCCAAACATTTTGTTGTCAGACAATTCAGTGTGCTTTTTCTTGTGTTTTGTTGCCTACACCGGCTGTCAAGCATCTTCCTCCACACAATTAGGCAAAAGTTGCTATGAGAAATTATTTGATGTGTTTCATGTGATTTTAACCTTTTTTCAAATTTCTGAAACACTACAACATCCCAGAAAAACTAATGCTGTCTTTACCCTCTGACTGGACTAATATTCCAGGTAAATCCATTCACAAGCAACAATGCAACAAAAAGTTGTTTCATACTCTGATCTTGCTTAATTTGGAAACTGGAAAGTTTAATATAATTTAAATATAAGCTGGATGATGCTATTAATGCTATGCCATAGTCAAATCAGATAAACCCTAAGTCTGGTTTTTGTGCTTGTTGAATATTTCTTTTCTAATGGCAGGGAGCATTGTTTCAGTGGTATTGATTTTTTTGTGCTGCTTTGTGCAGGGTTCACAGAAAACATTGTTCCTGTGCAAAGGAATATACAGTTCACGTTATAAGTGTCTACTTATATTGTCTAGATGCAGGCAATAGACTTCCAAAGAGAATTTGAGTTTTTTGGAAGCTTAAAATGTGCCAGGATGTTGTTGTTGGAGTATTTCATGTTTTTAGGTATTAACTTGAGAAATTATATTCCAGACCTTCTTAGTCCTGGGGCTGAGTCTGACGTGGTCATGGAAGAAGGGAGTGATGACAATGACAGTGAAAGAAACAGTGGTTTTATAGATGACATGGAAGAATCTATGGCTCATGATTCAGAGATGTCAATGACAGGATGCCATAGTGACAATGGAGAAATGCAGGATGCTGATCTGGATCATGATGAATCTAACAGGATGATCAGGTGAGCTGAGGAGTGAGTGTACCTTCCATATTCCTTTGTATTTATTTGTATGTATCATGTCTAGGGCTCCAGGGGGAATCTACGTGGTCACTCTTCTCACTCATTTAGAATGGGGAATGCTGGTAAAATGTTGAGCATTTGAAAGTGCAGTGAGAATGTTTCACTGATTATATGCATTAGTAATTTAAGAGAAGCTTTATTGACAAGTTGAAGTAGCATTTGAAAACTTATGCAAAAGTAGTTCTTACAGGTCTGTTCTCATATGAAAATGATGTGAAACTAAAAAAAAAAAAATCTATTTATTTATTGTTTACTTACTTTCCAAGGCATTCTTTCCCTGGTTTAACAGTGCAGTGCCTGGTCATTTAAATAAATAAAATGTGTAAGTGGCTATGGTGTAACCAGATCTAGATTAATTGTTTGTATTTTTAGATGTCTTTATTAAAAAGAAATGTTTGACAAACTTAAAGTAGTAATTTGAAGCAAGTTGCAAAATAGATTAGTGCTTTGAAATGACTGTTCAGGAAGGAAAACAGGAACTGAGTTGTGCAATGTACCTCAGAAGTGAATTAAGAGAAGAAACATCATTCACTTATTGGAACTATCCAAGTAGTATGGAAAAGGTAGGGATTATTCATTGTCAGGGAACCTAAAATAAATTAAGGTAATTTCAGCTGTAATTTCCTTGATGCAAGGATCTATACTCTGACCTGCAATTTCCTCTTTTATTTTGCTTGTTGGGAGTCTCAGTATGTTCTCCTTATTTCTCTGTTAGTGTCATACACCTGTTGCACTAATAAGAAGCAATCTATTTCAGCAATATGAAGTTTTACTTTATGCAGCGTTGAACTCCTGTCATGTTTATCTGCATAGGTATAATGTGTATGGTGTATAGACACCTTGTGTCATTGGAATATGAGCCTGTGCTTAGATCACAAAGTCATTGTCACAGAACATTTTAAATTTCCAAGTTTTATTAAGCAGACAGCATTGCAAGTTTTCAAAATAAAGGTACCCAATACCAAGTACTAATAAAACATTTATAATTAAGATACATGTTTTAGTTATGTAAGGGACATTCCTGTATTTCCAGCAATACCCCTCTGTAGTTGTTTCTAAGAGTAGTTTCCGTATCCATGGATATTTTTAAGTGATCCATAAAAGGCAAATAAAAAGTAAACCTTTTGTCAGTACAGACAAGAATAGCTAAATAGAAACTGCAATGGCTAAATCATTTTTAGGCAGAGAAGAGATATTAACTATATGTTACATACTTAATTAAACTTTCAGACAGCACTTTTTGCATTTTGATGGGAAACTACCAATTCATGAAACTTATTTCCAGGATGCATTATAGTGAAGCAGGGCCATCTGCAGACATCTACAGTTACAACAACTTTGGGAACTTAATATGTTATTCTTTTCCTAAACACTATCAGCCCTTTTTGTTGGAGTTGTTACACGAATAGCTTTGCTAGCATAACACAAGAGCGCTGTTGTGCAGCATCACTGCATTGCAGCATCACTGTTGAAATTTCTGCCAGAAATAACCAAGTATTCATGTTTAGGACTGAACAGATTGAGTCCATATTCCATTACACTGAATCTGCTTCAGGAGTTAACTCTAGCAGCACGGATGATTGTCTAGGTTGCTTCTGGTTACTACCAGACTTTATGTGATGATGTTATCAGGCATGCTGTCACATTCCCAGCTTCCCAGCTTACTGTGTGTTGGCTGAATGGTAGAAAGTTGCAGTGTGCATACCCCACAAGGCAATGGGGTTTCACCTTAAGTCTTTGAGGGTAGAGTAGCTTAAATCTCTTTCTCTGAGAGGTTCCAGTAGATTCTCTGCTGTGCCTGGCCAGGGTGTGTGCAGCTGGGCAGCTGACACATTTCTACTCTGTAAATTATCATCACTCCATTGTGTGTTTGAGCCCAAGCAAAATCACAGGACAGTAATCTGATGGACAGTGTCTGTGGAGGTTATGAGGGATTCAAGATCGAGTACTGCTCTGAATCATACATAGCACAAGCTTGAGCAATGGCTCCTTAGCTAAGGCCCTAGTCATTTGGTAATTTTCTTAGCTCATCTTTAGAAATATTTTTGGAAGGGTGTGTGTAAGCTTTCAGAAGGTCTCTGACATTCTCTTGGTGCAGCATTACAGTCTTTTTTCTTTGTAATCTTGAGATACTTGGACTGACAAAACAAAATAGCATTCAAACCAGGTCTGCTAACAGTGACAAAAATGAATGTGGGTATATTCTCTCTGTGTGTGTACATGTATTCTGATTTTAAAGATTTTTTTCTTTTTGTCCAAAGTTATCTTCTTTTTAAAAGCCTTTAATGATTTATTCTTAAGCCCTTCAACCAGCAACAATATTCCATTAATGAGAGTGGTACAGTCTGTGAAGCACACAAAAAGGAGAAGTAGCACAGTAATGAAGGAGGGTTGGATGGTTCACTATACAAGCAAGGACACACTGGTAAGAATTGTTACAGAAGACCTGTCTTCCAGTACATGTTATATTATAGTATAGAATCAAATCCTGACAATACTCTCATAATTTACAGTGACTCATGTGAAGCATTTTTTGCAATTTTTATGATTCCTAAAGTCCCAATTCTTATCATAACTAGAGACTGGCACTGCTTGTAAGAACAGGAGACAGAACATGCAAAAAACATCTGATTTTACCTGTTGCATTATCGTAGGCAGCCAAATGTAAAATCATTGATAAAGAAGTGAAACATAACGTTAAGGCGTTCTGTAAAGTAGCTTTACATTCCAGCTGCACTCTCCCCAGTACTTACTGCCAGTTGAATTGAGACTTTTGTAAAGTATATTTAGTGTAGAAAAAGGCTAAATTCATTCCAACCTGCTAAAAAGGTGGGTGTTATAAGGGATACAGAAAGAAATTTCAATTGCTTTAGGATCATATATACCAGCAAATTGTGCTGAATGTTTTGCAGACATCAGAATGACATTTTAAATTTTTAAAACTTGTACAATTTTAACAGAGCTATTCCTGAAATAGCAGAGCATAATAAGAAGTCTATAAATTCTAAATTCAATTATAAAGTCTTCATTAAAATCTTGTAATAGTAATTGAGTCTGTATCATTTACAGTACATCTCTTCAAACTAAAGAAACACTTTGGCAGTGCTTTTGTGAAATGAACATTTCATTAATTTACTTGTTTTTCATTGCAGAGAAAGCGACACTACTGGAGGCTGGACAGCAAATGCATTACACTTTTTCAAAATGATACTGGAAGCAAATATTACAAAGTAAGGAATATTTTTCAACCTCTTTTTATACTAGCAGAATATAAGGACTAAATTGCTAAAGAGATGCTTCCTAAAAGTACAATAATAGTGTAACTTCTATCTAGGTTTTGGTTTTGGTTTTTTTTTCATTATTTAAGCTGCATATGTATGTTCTGCTTTTCACAAACAAGTCTGATCAGAAAGGTGTCAGCTAACAAGGACCTATAAAATGTGTGTTGTGGAAATGAAAAGTTTTTACATGAGAAGTCAACAAGGTTTTATTTTCTAATGGAGTTCTCTTGATATATGGATGGCCCTGCTTTTTTTCTGAAGGTACCTCACTACTCTCTTGGATAAGTTCAGTTAAATAATTAAACTTCTATTTAGTCTTGGAGAGAAACACTTAGTATTTTACCATCAACAGCCATCTGTGTCACAGAGTTTCAGGTTACAAGAGCCTTCTTGTTTGTACGAGAAGCACGTGGTAAAAGGCAATAACTGATATCATAAACTAATCAAATAAAGCTCATGCTGAAGTTTTATATCTTTGCACAGAAAGTAAAATATTTTTTTCATTTTAGGAAATCCCATTGTCTGAAATTTTATCTCTGGAACCTGCAAAAACTTTCACTTTGCTGCCTCAAGGAGCCAATCCTCATTGCTTTGAAATAAGCACAGCAAATATAGTCTATTATGTTGGAGAAAACATAGACAACCTCTCAAGTGTTCCACTGAATAACAGTGTTATCTGCAGTGGTGTTGGCATTGATGTGGCACGAATGTGGGAGATGGCAATACAGCATGCCCTGATGCCTGTCATCCCTAAAGGGGCATCAACTGGCTCAGGACCCAGCCTGCACAGTAAGTCTATTCATTTCTTCCATTTCTGATAAGGAGAATCACATCTCAAATGACATTGCTCAGTCTTCTGCACACATTGAAAGCATGCATTGCACAGGACTATTCTGTCGTGGCTTGTCACTTGTCTTCCATATTATTTTAAACACCACAATTTCTCATCCATGTGTTTTCAGTTTGTAGTAGGACATCTGTATTGATATACAAGATGCAGATATTTTAGTAAGCAAATAGTTATGAAATTAGTAAGCCTTCTAATTCAAATTTGTGTTGCTGGTGTGAGAAATAGCCTCCTTGTGCAGAAGAATGAAGTTTTCTGAGCTCCAGTTCAGAACTGATAGATTTTTTTTCCCATCCTGACTGTAATTTATGTTGCTAGCTGAGTGCAGAAGCAGCTCTTCACTCGTTGAGTCACTGCAGCATAGATTATATGCTCCCTTTCATCATATTAGGCTGTACAGCTTCCTCAAACGTTGTCCCATTCTGAGATGAAAAGAGCTCAAGTGTGAATAACAGCTATTCTAAGCACAACAAGGCATGTGTGTTATCCAGGACCAAAAGTACTGAATATATCTTAGCTTCCAATATACATACCTTTGTGTAATTCTCTAGCAAAGGTGACAAAAGTTTATGTAAACCAAATATGAGACCTGTTTAAATCTTTCTTGGGTACTGATAATAAAGTAGTACAGAGCAAACAATTCCCCACTACTGGCCATGTGCTTCTGTGTTTGCTCTGTACTTCTGTTCAGCCTTGTCAGTGTAAAGAGAGTTTGGATGTGTCTACATAATTTGGATTGGACCTTTTGTTGCAACATACACCCACTTTAGCACTTGACATCTGGATGCTGTTAATGCAGCACAAAATGCTAATGAGACCACAAGCCCTTCAGAAACCAAGTAATAACAACAGGCTGTGGCATTGCATCTCCAGGCACAACAGCTCACATATCAGATTAAATCAGCAGTGTCCTTTGCTTTCTCAACTGGAATCTGCTATAAAATAGTGTCAAATTCTGGATGTCATTTCCATCAGACTAGTTGTCTAGTGCCCCTGGTTTGAGTCCAGTGTAGCTAAACAAATCACCTAAAATACTGGACTGGGCATGACAGCTGTCTTATCTCCCTCTTGGAAAGTTTTAAAAATTTCTTTACAAGTTAGTAGTTATCTTTGGGTTTTATGTGCAAAAATTAAGGTGGTCTGAGACCTTTAGAACTATTTCTTGTGGACAATGAGAATCACAGCAACCTTCTTTCTTTTGCTCAAAGTCTAAGACTTTGTCTGTCTTTGTCCACGCTTTTTTTTCATGTAAGCACAGCAGTACGTAAATTTGAAAACAAACTGGCAATGATTAAAGACCTCTCCATAACTGAAATATTCTATGCCAAAAGCAGTTGTCCTAAGGAAAGGGAATAAGCCATATGAGGCAGAAGTTACTCGTGTTACTTACTGCAACTAGGATTAGTGCTGATGGGTAGTAGCAAGTGTCTTCAGTGTGTAATGCAGGCCTTATAGTAGGGGACACTAGTTTCAAAATTTTTGCTTAAACAAGTGGAAAGTCAGCATGAATGAGATTCTACCCAGAAGTAGGAGACAGAAGTGACAGTGCTCCAAAGAAGCAAAGTATTCTCTTTGTGTAATGCAGTTAGCACTAGGTATAGTCTGAATTTCCCCTCAGTGAGTTTATAGTTCAAATGCTTATGACATGCTTATAACATCCTAAGCTCCAAATTGATAGAAGCTGGATCTGGTGTTCATTGTATTAAAATGCACGTGCAAGGTTTTGTGTCCATTATGTTTAATTTTTAATTTTTAATAATGTCTGTTAAGCCAGTTGAAATGTGTATTACTTGTAACAGTATGCAGTCTCATTTGAATATGTATTTGTCTTCATCTGAATAGCATCAGATATGTTGTAGGTGACTAAATAAATCAAAAATATTATTAAATACTAAAAAAAATCAGTTTTGTTGCAGTTGTTACTTGGATGAGATACAAAGCTTCAAAATAGAATGGGAAAAAGCAATAAAGCTTATAAATGGGAATTATGAGACTTCATTATTAAAAAATTATTAATGAATTGTATAATTCTGGTTTTTCCCTACAGTGCAAAACTGTTGTTCAATTCATGTGATTGTGGGCTGCTGTATAATTTTATATTAGCTGGTAGTTGCACAAGCTGACCTAATTGGTCCAATTTCTAGAGCTGTCAGTGGATACTGATGTAATATGAATGTCATTTCCTATTACTATATGTTTGAACTAAAAGCACAGCAATCTAAAGTATATTTTACTTTCTTCCCTAGGGGATATATCCATCAGTATTTCTGTGTCAAACTGCCAAGTCCAAGAAAACGTGGTGAGTGTTCTCTGGATGCTGGTGCTAGACGTGCTATGATTAGGCTGGCAAAGTCATTGATCTGCTTTCAAGAGGAGTGTTAGGGGAGTTCCCATCAGCCATTTCTCACTTCCTTTGAGGAAATTAACAAACAATTAGCTTTTTAAACTTTCGACAAAAGCCATCTTCCTGGCGCCTTTTCTCGAGATGCAAGAATTATGTATGGGTAATTTCCCAGCCTTTAACTGTGGGGCTGTGTAGGATGTTAATTACCAAATGGAAAAGCGAGGTGCAGAAATTACTAGTTCATTTGTAATTTGAAATTTGTCAACTGAACTTTGTAAAACTGACTACAAACCTTGATAAATACACCATTTCCTGTCATATCTGAGAGATCAGATACTCGCTGTTGTCTGATGATGAAACTCCATCCAAAGGAAGAGTTGCATATATCATAACACACGCACAGAGAGAATTCTGTGTTTCTTTTACTCTGGGACAGTTAGACACGGGTCATGTGGTCAAGTTAAGCAGTTACACTGCTTGTTTTCTATCTCATGGCAGGTGGAAAAAATAGATATTCCCTGCAGCCAGCTAAAGTTTTGGGACAGCTCTGGTAGTTGTCAGAAAAAGATTGCAAACAGATTGCCTGCTAGGGATGTGTCCATTTGTTTCCTAACAAAAAGTAAGACAGCCTTTATTATGAATTAGATACTCTTTTACTCTTTGTTGTATATGCTGCTGGTTAAATATCAGCAAAATAAAACTGAACTACAAGATTTGATGTTTGTTTGAGTCTCCCAAATGCATCTGCTAACAGCTTGTGCTTTAGCCTGTGTTACAGCACTGAGAAATAGTGAGACATGAGATGCCTCTCTGGCACAAATGGAATATTTTTACTCCTCTCAGTCAACCTGTTGAAGATTCATCAGCTTTTACAACAATTACAGTTACTATGGCTTGTAAGAAAACACACCTGAATTTTTTGGCAGATAATATATTTTAAAATGTACTGTACTAAAAGAATGCTATTTCCCACTAGAAAAAGCAAATGAAATACAAATTTTCTTTCCATGTTCTTAGGGCTTAATATCTGTTGTTTATATAAACAGGATATTAGCACTGTATACCAGATCTTTCCAGATGAAGTATTGGGATCAGGACAGTTTGGAATTGTTTATGGAGGTAAGGCTTTGGTGTGTTGTACAGTTATGCTTAAGATAAAAATTTACTTGATTGGGGAAAGTATTTGGACTCTGAAATGTTTTATTGCAGAAATTAGTTGTCTGTTGTTTCATTTAAGCAGTATACATTCAACAAAATCTATGTTTACGTTTTGTGTTGATGATATCATTTTGTAGATTGAAGTTTTCTGCCCAGTAGTGGGTCAGTGTATATCAGTAACTTCATATTCTCTGGAAGTTCTAATAAAGCAAGCCTGAAAGTGCAGAAAGATGTTTTTTGAGAACTGCAATGGATGAAAAAAATATTATTCTCCCTTCTGTGTTTCTTTACGTGTTCCAGTAAGGCCTTTTTTAATTGTTTCTTCAGTGGCTTGTTAGAAGTGTTTCTCTTTTTATTTTCTTATTAATTTTTCCTCTCTCTTTTCTCCTTTTTTTCAGCAGTTTTTTAGAGGTGTATTTAAGTATAGCTGTTCTTTGAGACAGTGTGAAGTGAGAAGTAACAACAGATTTCTCACTGAGGTATCTCTGACTCTGATAAACCTGGGGCATGCACTGACATGCCTAAGGCTATCACATATTTCAATATTTGCTAGTGTGGAGCCAGCAGTGAAGGACTAAACCTACAATGAGGCAGTTGCTCAGAACACAGCTGCAGCTTATATATATGAGAAAATTAACTTTGCATCTGTACTGTTGAGATGTAGAGCTAACTTTCTCATATGCTTGTGTCTTACAGGCATATAAATAAGCTTTATATGCTTGTCAGGATTTATAAGGCAATAGTAAGGAAAAGTTCTGTTATGAAAGGGTAGAAAGAAGAGAAGTTACAGAAAACTTTTAATGTTTTACCTGCAAACTAGCTCTGAGAATTACTTGGCTATGGCCATTTGTGTAATCCATAAAAAGGGAACACTTTTCATAATTAATCACATTAATTGAGAGGAGCTTTTGTTTTATTAATGCAGGAAAGCATCGCAAAACTGGAAGAGATGTTGCCATTAAAATAATTGATAAACTAAGATTTCCAACTAAACAGGAAAGTCAACTTCGTAATGAAGTTGCCATTTTACAGGTACTTTTCTGTTCTTCTTTTCTTGTTTGTTTTTTTTTGTATTAGCTCCATTATTTATTTCTATAAATACCAGATAATAATATAATGATTTTAATTTATAATCACTAGTGTTTTTGCAAAAATATTAGTATTTTTGCTGTTTGTTTTCCATAAAAAGCCAAAACGTATCAACAGTGTCACACTAGGAGTTACAATTTCTGCAGTTTTAAGCACTAGGCAGTAAGAAAAATGTATCTTAAACTAATTTGAAATTCATACCTTCTCCTATATTGCTCCTAGAAATTTTGTCCCTGTTGCCTACAGGTTAGGCACACAGTTTAAATTATGAAGTACTAAAACATTGTCTGGTTTAGGTGGGGGTCTGAAGTCTGGATATGTAATGATAAAAGCTACTGATCATATTGAGAAATCTCATGCTATATTTATCTTAAATAGAATCTTCATCATCCTGGGGTTGTAAATCTGGAATGTATGTTTGAGACACCTGAAAGGGTCTTTGTTGTTATGGAAAAACTCCATGGAGACATGCTGGAGATGATCTTGTCAAGTGAAAAGGGCAGATTGCCAGAGAGAATAACTAAGTTTTTAATTACTCAGGTAAGAAATTAATTACAGACCTAGAAGGAGATTTTGAGGTCAATTATTATCACTGTTCCTTATGTTTTCCTTTTGACATAATTCACCTGCCTGGTTTATGAAAATCTGAGTAAAACAGGAGTGGTAAACCAGCTTTCTTTACATTACTGTACATCATCTTATAGTAAACCATTAAGAGGATGTAAAACTAGACATATTAGAGTTCTTGGCTGTTTGATGGAGGGGACATCAAGCTACAGTTGCTCGTATGATGGAAGAATTAAGCACTAGAAAGGAAAGCACTAAAAGCAAACTGTTGAAGAACTAGAAAAAGAAATTGGAGCCTTTTGAACTGTCCAATATCAAATCAATGCAGTTCATACTATGCACTGTTAAACCTTGCTGAGACTGAAACTCAGTGTTACCTCTGTCTGATTCTGGATTCCATTATTACTTCTATTAACAATTGATGTGGTATTTATTTAAGCTTCCTGTTGTTATATTCCTGTAATATTATCGTACTTCTTCTTTGGCAGCCCAAAATACTGGTTTAAATTTAGATACACAGTTCAGTAATGAGCCACCTCACAGTCAGAGAAGCCCATGTTTTGGCAGTCGAGAAAAAAAGTAGCAGGAGGAACAGTATTATGATGTTTATTATTATAAATTCCTTACTTGGGGTTGAACTTAACAGGTTTCCTAGTTTCCAGGCTTTAATGTACAAAAGTGCCACCAGCTTTAGAATTTGAATTCTTCTGTTCACAGATTCATTCAGCCTCCCCATATTCACTGCTCTAATTCGGTTGCAAATTCTGTCAGCCCCTGATCAAACACAAGGAACTGAGTCAAAGCCACACAAAAAGGATGTTACAGTCACTATATTTATTTGTATGTAACAGAACAGAAATACATACAACACTCTCCATTCTTTCTCTCATCGAGAAAACACTTCAATTGGATCATAAAGTATTTGTGAAATGTTTTTAGTTGAATCTAGATATGAAAGGTCATTCTGCACATGTTACTACTTGCAAAGATTTCATGCACAAAAAAGTAAACAAATATTTAGAACCCAGTTTTTAAAAGATATTTATGATGTAAACTCTTGGAAAGGGAAAAATTATATTCAATGCAGTGAAACATCAAGAAAACTTGAGGCACAGCATTTTGGGGATTTTTGGGTTTTTTATTGTTGACATTCTTGTAAAAGGTACATTCTTGCTGGATTGTTTTTCTTCACACCAATCCTTGCTTAAAAAAGTGACCAAAATTTGATTTGTTTATTCACAGATCCTTGTTGCTTTAAGACATCTTCATTTCAAAAATATTGTTCACTGTGACCTCAAACCAGAAAATGTGTTATTGGCATCAGCTGATCCTTTCCCACAGGCAAGTAGAAAATGCCCTTTCTTAAGATAAATTGTTCTAATTAATAAGTGTCAGCAATGTTTATGTAAACAAGAAAACGGTTAGTGACCTGTTTGCACAAAATTTTTAGGTAAGAAAAATTTGATCACTTATTCAAACCACTTTATAAAGAAATTATGTTTGAAAATCCTTGACTCTTGTCATTTGTCTAAAATATTAAAATAGCTTTTCAAGTGTGACATTAGCTACTTGTGTGATCATTTCTAATTTGCTCACCATTACAGCACAAACTACTTGGCTGATTGATTTGCTCCAGAAAGAAAGTTATTTTTCTGAAAATTTGGGTAGGGCTCATGCAGAACAAGAGCTTCTTCTTTAATTCTATGAATTTAAATGCCATGTAGATCACAGGGTATTTTAATATACATTCTGACTGGTTATATTTCTTATTAAAAGTTATTTTTATCTGCTTCTGTTACCTTCAGTCTACGGAGTTCATCTTTAATCTCCCTTAATCACCCATATTCAAAATGAGTACTATTGATAATTTTTAAATAATACCAAGATCAATATTTGCAATGGAAGGATCTATACTGAGTTGTTTTAAGTGAGAATTTTCAAGCTGCTTGCTCTGTTACTTTGTAGAGCTCAGACAAGGAAGTTTGCAGAGAGTATAACTAGATCCACAGTAAAATGAAAGTAGAGGTTTAAGAACTAAATTTTGTCAAGTTGCTTGTTTTAGGAAAAAGCCACAGGTAAAACAATTTTCCTGTTTGCCGTGTTCTTTTACTACGAATGAATAAGTATTACTATATATTACACTTTCATCAGGAACCTGAGCTGTTAAGCCTACCCACAACTGTGTTTTATTCATGGAATGAAGGAACAGAAGACATACTGTGCACTGCTATTGTGGTCTGCTGTTTTAGTGGAATAAGAATATTCCTGTCAAAGAGGAGTTTAAAAAAAGTACACTTGAAGGAACAGTAGAGATGCATCTTGCAACTAATTGATGATAAAAGCTCCTCAACTATGTATTTGATAATAAAAATAACGTGTCTTACTATAGCATTTTTCATTAAACAGGTGAAACTTTGTGATTTTGGCTTTGCCCGAATCATTGGAGAGAAATCATTTCGGCGTTCAGTTGTAGGAACACCAGCCTACCTTGCTCCAGAGGTTCTGAGAAACAAAGGCTATAACAGATCTCTGGATATGTGGTCAGTGGGTGTCATCATTTATGTCAGCCTCAGTGGTACCTTTCCATTCAATGAAGATGAAGACATACATGACCAAATTCAGAATGCTGCCTTCATGTATCCACCTAATCCATGGAAGGAGATTTCTCTTGAAGGTAATACCTGTTTGTGGCTGTTCTTATATAAAAGTGCTACAAAGAGTAGATGTATTTTGCTTTTATATTTTTTTTCCTATACATAACAGAATTTAAAAAACATAAATTCCAGTAATGTAATGTGTTTTGTGCTAACAGCTGCTTTAGACATTCCCTACAGAGCATGTATAGACTGCATATGGCATAATCTTCTCTCGTGGGATCTCTCCAGGAGGTGTTGAAGGAGGCACATAACCACCTACAGCTGATATTGCTGTAGAATCTGTGGGAAGCTTAAGCTGCTGTAATTGGGCTTGTGTATATTTTTTTTATGCACCTCTTCATTCTGCTCTATTGCATCTGCAGTCTGTTTCTTGTTCTACTTGTTCCAGTAATTGAGTTTGGTTTCAATAGGGTGCTGTACTCTGATATCTTTGTGTGCAGAAGATAAAGGTGAACAATTCTATATATGAGATTTCAGGAACAGTAGGAGAAAATGTCATACAAGAGGCTTTATACAGGGGGAAAAGTCTTGGAGATAACTGTGAGACCTTTGAAATTCGAGTTCTGGTCAATGGCGTCAAAGACTCTTGATAAAACATGAAAGAACAATGTGACTAGTTCTCTAGGAACATCTTTAAAGAAGGTAAATCAGTTCTATTAAAAACGTGTCTAAACACAATTGAGTAGGGCATTTTAAAAAATAGCCACTTCTGGTTTCTGTAACATTTTCACATACAAAGCATTTTCAGGCAACTTGATTTTCTTTGAGACTTTTTTTTAGTCCAGAATGATGTAAGATTGTAAGTCTTAAAGCAAAGAAACATTATAAGCATCAGATTCCTATATCCTTTTCTGAATTGTAATATGTGCCAAACTGAATTACGATATTAGCATTTAAAATTTCTGGTATTTATAGTACCGTTTTTCTGGTTTTCAGGTGATACGTTTAACATACCTGTTAAGCACAGTTTAGAGCAGTGTGCCTAATGCTTACTATAATATATATTACAGCCATGTGAGATTCTTTTCTGAAAATGCTCTGAGAGCATTGTTTGTTATTTTATCTCAGTGGCAGATGAAGTTTGAAATCTGTTGCATAAAAAAAAAAAAGCTATAAATCTGCACAATTACACACTGAAGTTCTCCTGAACCTCCACACACTTTGATATGTAAGCTGACAGAATCTGTTGGCAGCAATGCTTTATCTGTCGCTAGAGATAAGCAAACAGCAATCAACACAGGGGAAGCTGCAAGAAATTGTCTCCCACAAGTTTCTACTGTGGTAGACAGAAGATCAATTTTTACACTCAGAGGTGAAGATTCAGTTGAGCACCTACAGAAAACTCACCTACTTGGGTGTTATCTCTCCATTTGTAGAATCACACCCTTCATTAAAAGTTGATGAATACCAGGCTGCAAGCATGCAGAAGGGAGGAAAACACATTTTAAAAAATTACTAAATTAAAATCTGCTTATACATTGTGATTTTATTACATATTTTGGATTGCTAGGTGATGAGCCACTCTGTTGTGCTAAATGAAAACCTGGAAGATGTCTGAAGAGACTCCATTATGTCTAAGACAGGTAGTTGAAGTCTGGATCTTAGGGCTCAAATTTGAACTCAAATTCCATATTACTTAGGGAAAATAAAGGAATGTTTTTTCATGTCCTGCTCCACTCTCCTGTGCAGCTTGTCAGAGGGCAGTGCCCCTGTGGACCTGCTGGTTCCGTCCAGTTTCTGTTACCTCTGACAGTGCAGCATGGTTAAAATGCAAACCTGTCCTAACACATATAATCTGGATTATAGTTCTGAACAGTGCCATGTTAATTCATGCTGCAAGTGATTGAATCATTTAAGGGAGAAACACAGATTATTTTAAAGGTTTTATGAAGGAACTTCTGCCTGCCTATTGCAAAGATTGGTGCTAAGGAAAGGCGAACAGCAGTTAAAACTTTTGTGTCTTGTCCATGATTATTTCTGTGACTCAGAGAGCCAAACTAAAACTTCTTGCAACTGTAGCTATTCCAGCCCTCTCTTCAGACCACTGCTCACGTAAAAATTTTAAGAATAGCTAAACTTAGTTATTGCCATCTTCTACTTTTATCACCATCAGAGAGGAAAAAGCATGTATTTCTTTGAATTTAATAGATAGTGCAGCAATTAGAGTAAATTATGCTGTGTTTAGCATCACTTTGGTTTTCATGTGCACTTCATGCTTTTCATGATACTTGCTAAACAACAGCATATTAATTTGTGAACTGGAAGGCAGAGGGTAACAAAACTTTAAAAGAAAAAAAAGGAGACGGATCATATGTAAACAATGTGTCTGGACACATAAACAGTGGTAAAGTAGTCTAAATATTCCCATTATGTGTTACTTAGTCAATTACTGGTCTTTAAGTAAAATTGGCCTTTAAAATTTTAAATAATAGATAGATTCATAAAAAATACATGGCCCATAACAGTTTAAACTGCATGGTAATATAAATAATATACTTAAAGTCTAACAGATTCAGAGGAAAAGCATGTGGAGATAAGTTGTATTTTGGAGGAAAAGTGTCATATTGTGCAATATTCTGGTCTGTGTTAGTTTATTTTCTTTACAGTTATTTTTCTGTAGCATTTTCTAGCAATTCTTAAAATAAAAATCTGCAGTCACAAGCCAAGACAAAAGACAGAACCTATTTGAGGATAATATTTTTTGAGTGCTTAATCTTTTTAAGTCACCATCAACAGTTGTCTTTCCTTCCAATCGTTTATGTCCTCTCTTTCCATCAAGTCTTCCTGATGAGAAATTTTGTTTTTCTTTTGTAATGTTTTGTCTTTCCTTTTCCCCATTAAAATGTAACGTACAAAAACTAGGACTTTTTAATTTTGTAGGTCTCAGATTTCTCCATAGGGAATTTTGATTTTTTACCTAAGTGGCTGCACTTTTCCTTATTTTTCCAGTAACTTCACTCTTTTGAAAGAACACTTCCCAAAACCTGAGTCTGGTTTTGGGTGTCTAAATAGGATTGTAACACATTACTGGAGATAAGTAGTTTTTGTGGCAGACATTTGGTGTGGTTTAGAAAACTAAGTTTTGTCAGAGCCATTCAGCATTTCATTGCCCAGTCTATTTCTGCTCTGTCTTCAGTGTTTGTCAAGCCAGGCTACATTTCTAAATTCACTGAATTGCTGTATGACAATTTGAACTTTATTCAGTCTTAATTGCCACATTTTACTAGATACTGATACAGAAGAATCTACTTGCAGAATTCTTATCTATTTTATAACTTCAAATTTCACATGTCTCAAACATGGAACCTGTTTTCAACAGCTTTGCTGTTTGTTTCCAACTTTGACCTTCCAGTCTACCAAATCTGTATAATCTCAAGAAATTTATTTTGACTTAGCTACATGTTACACTAAATAAATACTGCTAAATATAAAGATAGAACACCATGATGGAGTTCTACCTGCCAGTATATTTTATGTACTATGTCTTCACTGTGGTAGCTATTTTTTTTTAACTGTATGGTCCTAAAATGTGCTATGTCAAGATTGGAATTATTTGTGGTGTGTTTCATTCTGCTGTCGTGTTTTCATAAAACATTGTATTTATAATTCTTTTTTCATCAGCTACTACCAGCACAGCTATTACCCCTGGCCTGATGGGCTGCGTGATGTGCACATTATTGGTTAGGTGCTTCACATTACTTAATATCATTAAAATAATTTGGGAACAAACAATGCAATTCCTATCATCCATTAAATTTGATCATATTACAGTTGTCCATGTTACAATGCTTTGTAGTCATAAATAAATACCACGGCTGCCTTTGAGCCAGTATTTCTTTATACTTGTTACAACATAATGTGACTAGAAATTCTGAGTGCTTCACATGTTAATTAGAAAGTCACATGAATGAGTGAGCATTGAGTACGAGGTCAGTGCATGTTATAGCTCAAAGATGCTCTCTGCCTCTGTAAATGTTTAGCTAGCTGTTGAAATGGAGGTCTTGGCTCTACTTACACCCTTGCTAGGATAAATTAGTATTAGGAAACCTCTCTTGTAGGGTACAGCTTAGAATTGCCAAGGATTTCTTCTGAGAGTACAGCTGAATCTATGTCCCTGAAGATCTCAGCCAGCTGAAGATGATTTTCTGCTAAAGTAATGCATGTACACTAGAGCGTTTGTCAACAAAGCTGTATTGACCAGCAGCAGAAAAGGGATTTGTGTGTATGAAAAAAATATAATAATGATGACCTCTAATCAATTAACCTATTCTTAGAAAAATCCAGGGCCTAGGAAGTCCTGGACCTCCTATATTAGTGACAGCAGCTTAAATTTGTACAAATGATGGCAGTAAAAGTAGGTAGTATTCTAAGTGTACTTTTAAAATTCTTAATCAGTTATAAATTTATCATTAATTTAGGACTGCTTTTTTTTTAATATCCTTAAGGGGATTTCTTGTTTATAACCTACATAAAAAATTTAAATCTGTAGGGAAGGACTAAATGAATGATATGTTTGTAATAGGGTTTTCGTATATTTTGTAAACTTTGACATTTATATGCAGGTCACATCCTAATTGAGTTAAAGCAGTCATTCCTGTGAAAAGTAATTATTGTGTTAATTTGATAGTTAGAGTGAAAATTGTGACTTTGTCTGTACAACTATTAATTATTTACCACATTAATAAACTTGCATAAGCAGTATAGAGTCATGAACCTCCTGACTGTGTAGGTTCTTTCCAGTGAACTGAAACTAAAGAGCCATCTTTCCTAAAATCAAAGGGATACAGAGCTTTTTAAATTTCGCATTTAAATTTTCCTGTTGGGGATTCTGCTGAATGATCACCTATCTGAAAGGCCAGTACTCATTCTGCTGGAGTAGTTGGCTAGTTTATTCCCTTTAACAAAGTCTCCAATTCCTGGAGCATTGTACTTCCTCAGCTGACTGCTTGCACTATCATGGAAGGTAAACAGGAGTCCATAAAAATGTTAGAAAAAGCACTTCCATAATCGTCTCAGAACTTTCACTCAGGTTGCCTTCTTGGTGATGAGCTAGTGCATTCCCATAGATGGTGTGCAGACCATAGGTGGTCAGTCTTTCTTAATGCTCTGAATTTATTTAATTTTTGATTTTACAGAGGAATACTATAAAATTTTATAAAGCTCTTAAAATGTCTGATAAGGATTATTTTAAAACCTGATTTAAAAAAAAATCAGTACAAATGCATAAAAATATTTAAAAATACTATATAGTTACTATGCTCTTCTCAAAACAGCTTTATCTTCCTCGACAGAATAATTAATTTTGCAACAGATGATGCCCAAATTTTGTCCCCTGAAGTTGTATGTCTAGAAGAAATGTTAATACCTTCCAAATTTTTGTCTTCAGTATTTTTAGGCAGTACAACTCAAAACTTAATCAAGCAATTAAGTGAGGATTTTGTTCTTTTTTTAATTCAGAAATTGAGTCAACATGAATCTTACTGTTCATTCATTTTACATGAATTGAAGCCAGACTAAGCTTTCTAAATGGTGGCTGTAGGGCCACTGTCAGAACAGGATGGGGTTTTTGTGAGTTTAAACAGAGAGAAAAACCGTGAACTTTCCACGTCTTTTAAGCATTTTAATTCCAGCACTCACAATGTCATTATTAAGCTTCATAAATTCTTCTTTGCTTTTCACTGCACTGTTCTTTTGTTGCCCTGCCTGCATATATCACTTGCATCTTGGCTTCTGTTACTCAGACAGAACTCTTACAAAAGTTCAAGAAGTGGCATTTCTTGAATTGCATAAAAAGTAAAAATAGTGTAAAAGTACTATTGCTACAGATAAAAAGAAGCAAAGACTCTTTGCTGTTGAAGCTCGTGTTTTCTTCCTTCACCTAAGTTTGAAAACTTTGAGTTATAAAGCAAATGAAATTGTATCAGATAGTTTGAGTTTTTACTTCATGTGTACTTCTAGTAGTCGTGTTGCATTTCTGCTTATTTATTTATTTATTTGTGCTTATTTCTTAAGAGGCAAGGGATAGGCAAAACTTTCCTGGCAAAAAGAACCCTAGATAAAAAACTAAAAACAAACAGCAGAACTGGTTACAGAGACAGCAATATTCCAGTGGTGAAACAAGCAGACTGTCTGTGTAAATGGTTCTCGACTGCTCAATTCTGACAATTGTAACTATCCAGGAAAACTGCCTTGTCACTCTCATCATAGTTTTCTTCTCTATCTTTTTTGTGCACCTTCTCTAGTGATTTTTTCTAGGCCAGTGCCTTTCTGGTCTGTTCAACAAGCCATTGGCAATTTCCCCCAAGAATACAAAGAAATATGTTATTACATGTAATACATCTTTGTCCTGAAGTGAAAAAACGGGCAAAGGGGCCCTGCATCCTGTTGTAACTTGAGGGAGATTGAATAGCTAAATATGATTTAGTCACTTGTAAGGCTCATAGTCATATCTGCTTCCAATGGGTTGCACAGAAGGAATGTAACAGAGACATTACCAGTCCTCAGTGGCAAGAAGAACATTCAGTAGGTACTTGACAGTTCCTGAGGCACATGCTGGGATATGTGCACCTACATCACAGCAGTTACCAGGACAGTCAACCCTTTCATCGAGTTCTTGACCTATTTTCCAAACTGAGATTCATAGTAAATGATTGAAAAATGAACTCTGAAGGTCATACACATCCAAATACCACTGAAAATAATAAAGAAATGGTAGCCCTACTAAATTCACATTCAGCACTGGCTTATGTATCAAAAGACAGACTAAAGTCTTACTGTAATTCTGCTGCATTTAAGGGTAAGTTGACAGTGTTGCAGAAAATGCTGATGTTTCCTGATACCTGGATATATACTGCAGTAGGTGAGGGACTATGTTTTCCCCTTGGAAGCATCAGATAAAAATAATAGTCATTATTTTTGATAGGTGATACCAAAACTGTCCTGTATGACTGACTTTCCAGTCACTTCCCCATAGCTTGGAACTTGAGAATGTCTCTTACAAATCAAGGGGAAGAAGATTAACCCCATTCTTTTGGAAAACAAATGAGTGTCAAGAATGATGCCATCTGTCAGTAATGGCCCTGCTGGATATCCACTGAGTTTCTTACCCCACATACAGTTCACCAGCATTTTGAGAGGGAACAAAATAAACACAAAGTTAGAGAACTGAGCATTAATTGTACTTGATGCTGAAAGATACAGTAGATAAGAATCTGTTTGTCCACAACAGAAAAGTAAAATTAGGACCATCTGTTCCAGGAAAAGAATGGCTTGGCGCCTCTGGCAATGCTTTCTTTGTCAAAAGTCCTGAGATTTATTTTCTATCATTTCCATGATTGCTTTGATTTCCAAGATGGTATTCATCATCAGGAAGTCTGGGCTGCCTTAGTGTTAGTCTTCTGTTGCTAAGAATAGGTTTGTCTGTCAAACTAACTGCATAAATTCAGATAGACTGCCATGTACATTCCCATTTTCCTGGACATTGGTTTCATTGTGTACTGCCCCATGGCAGAAACACACGTAAAGCCCTAGGTGGCAATTTGAGCCTGCAGAGAGGAAGTCTCTGTTAAAAAAGAAAAGCTTTTCTATATTGTTGTGCAAAATACAACCTCAGAGATAATTGGTTTAAAGAATTCTGTCCCATCTCATGCTCTTGAAGCAGACAAGCTTCAGCTCCTTTTAATACCCAGCTGGCAACAAAATCCATCTGATGTGTTTCAGACCCAGTGCCCCTCAGTGATGCTGTGTGTCTGTGATACTTTCAAGACCATCTTTCCCTGTCACCATGATATAAACAGAGAAATAAAGATGTAAACCAGCATACTTTGGACATGCCAAAGGATAATGTGTCAAAATGGAAAAATTGTAGAAATGTTATCATTCCTTGTAGCTAGTCAGTTATTCTGAAATAACAGTAACATTCCACTGGAACACATGCTCAACATTTAGCACCACCTAATAGGATTTAACCTTTCATTGTAGCCTCATTTTTTAAATTTTTAATGTGTTTTGTTTGTTTGTTTGGGGTTGGTTTTTTTTTTTTTTGTAGTTTCATTCAAAGCTCATCAATCTCATTCCAGAGATTTTTCCAAATGGGTCACTCATTTCAGTTCCATGCACTGATCATTGGCTCATAGGCCTCATCCCTTCAGGCACCACAGCATACATACCTACAGGGTGAAAGAGTTGGATTTGTTCAGCCTGGAGAAGTTTGCAGGGGAGACCATGTAGCAGCTTGCACTCCCTAAAGGAAGCTAAAAGAGAGCTGAAGAGAGACCTTTTACAAGGCATGTAGTGATAGGACGTGGGGTAATTGCTTTAAACTGAAAGAGGGTAGGTTTAGGTTGGTTATTAGGAAGGGGTTGAATATTGGGAAGAAATTCTTGACTGTGAGGATGTTGATACAATGGGACAGGTTGCTCAGAGTGGTTGTGGATGCCCCATCTGTTGAAGTGTTCAAGATCAAGTTGGACAGGGCTTTGAGCAATCCAGTCTAGTAAAAGGTCTCCCTGCCCATGGTAGGAGAGTTGGATCTTTAAAGACCTTTCCAACCTAAACCATTCTGTGATTCTGTGAACCTCAGTGAATCATTGACTCCAAAACCATAGAAATCATCCAATTTGTCAAAGAAGCTCTCTCACTTTTCTGAAACTGCCGACTGTTGACTAGCAAGTAGAAGCAATGCTCAGTTCAGAAGAATGGTATTGCAGGACTTGGTGACTTACAAAACCTGATTTCTTCACTCAGGGACTGGGAAAGTGCTGCTGTCAGCTAAAAGTGACACTGAAAGTCTCAGAAAAATATATACATATATATTGTTTACTGTGGTACCTGAAGAATACTGCTCTTGGGAGGAAAATGTTAAAGCTGGAAGATTTGGTAATGAGGGAATATTTTCACTCAAAGTGGCCTTGCACCTTGCTGCTAAGAATGTGTGTGGGAAAACTCTATATATTATGCCTAGTGTTGCCCATCCTCTGCCTGTTTTGAGAAGCAGAATTCCCAAGCAGAGATAACACACTCTCACAGACAGGCTTGAGCCCCGTGCTGGGAGAGGTCACCGAGCACAGCCTTGAGATAAACTGTGGGTGCCCACAGCCCTGTGATGTGTCGGGGCAGGCAGTGCCACCCTTGTGCCAGGGTGAGCTGAGCCTGACAGAGCTGTGTCCCCGTGTCTGTGCTGCTGAGGTCATGGAATAAACCTGCTCCTTGCATTTCAGCTGTGCCTCGGTGGTCGTCTTGGTTGCCACTATGTGTCAAATCACACTATTGTAGACCTCACTTACATGAGTTTTTTTTCTCTTGAGCAGGATCCAAGTGAGAATTACGTTCAGGCAACTGTTCAGTAAAATAGTTGTAATCCCATTAGGAAGGGTTGCATGGGTACCCTCAGGTACATCAATATTGACTGCAGTTTGTAAAAAGCTGAAGTAAGAAGGGATAACTGCCCTCTTTTTACAACTACCATGTCTGTGTAGCTCTCTGTTTGCACGTCCTAGTTGAGACAAATACACTTAAACTGACATTTTCCAATATTATTTCTTTTCAGCCATCGATCTCATAAACAATTTGTTGCAAGTGAAAATGAGAAAGCGCTACAGTGTGGACAAAACGTTAAGCCACCCATGGTTACAGGTATTTCTACAAATTTCTTGTTTTTACTTTTGCATTTAGACTCTAAACATATAACAAATCTTCTTCATTAAGCACAGTAGAATCTAAGAAAACCTACAAACCTGAAGATGTTTTTAGATCCTTAGAGCCTTGTGCTTGTTCACCGATTTACCTATTTTCTAATTTCTAATTAATTTCTGAAGTATTAGATTCTACAACTAAACAGTCTCATGCTTTCAAAATACATCACAAAAATATTTTATTGTATTAGTCTACTGAGAAATTTATGTATATAAAAAAAACTCCTTGTAGTCATTTGACTTACATTATTTCATTGCCTGGAGTTTACTCTGATTCACTTCTTATTAAAATTATTCAGCAGGCTTTCGTTTCACAGTCATCACAAATGCTATTGAATTTGTGTGCTTGCTAGGAAAATACATTAATCACATTCAACTGAATTCTTCAACTAAAAACTGAGATGTAAGGAATTTTTAAGATGCTAGCAGTCTCTGTCTTGTGCTCACCGTATGATATGATAATTCTTTTTATCCTGGCAGCAGTCAAATCACTGCAAATTTAAGGCTTAAGACAGAGCAGGGAAGCAGGAGGGGGCAGCCCAGGTAGGGCATTGGGTCCCTCCCTGCAGGTGAGGATGGGCTGAGGCCAGACAGGTGCATCAGCATCTCAGATCTCCCAAGGGAGCTTTGTTTGCATCTAGGAAAGTAATTGTGGCACAGGCATGGGATAGACCAGATGCATAATCCCCAATCCCAAAGGAATCTTTATCAAAATAGAAAACTGGGTCCTGCTGCAGTATCTTATAGTTGATACTGTGTCTCAAAGTAGATGTTGACCTTCTGGTATGGGAGGAAAAGAGCTGTAACCACTGCACTCCACCTTTCTCAGGGACATTTATCTGGATCTTGCTTTTTTCCTCTCAGATTTCCTGCCCCTCACTATTTTTTCCCTCCAAGACTGCTCTTCTCCCTGGCAGCAATTGCAGAATGCCTGTGCTTGAGTCTTTGGGGAGCAGAAGAAGGTCTGCAGCAAGGATGCTGGCTATCTCATGTGACAGGACAGGGTCCTTCTCCTCTATATCCACTTTTATTGCTTGTTTAGTAGTGAGTGGAAGTGAACTAAGATGTGGCAGTTCAGCAGCAGCTCTAGCACTAGAAATGGGATGAGACCTCTGTCTAGAAGAGTCCTACCTTGCAAGCTAAGGAAAGATAACAGCAGTTATTTTTCCTTACAGGGCAGTGTTACAGGGCAGTGAGACTTAGTGGTGTTCTCTGAGAGGATGACTCTTAAGAAATGGGCCAAAGTGTATGAGATACTAAAGATGAAAGCTTTATGCATTTACTGTGTTTGGGCTTTGTGGTGCTTTGGTTATGTAGTTAGGATTGTGTCTTAGGCAGGGACAAGATGAAGGAGAAAAAAGAAAACAGGATCATGAGGAGACATTAGTCTCATGAGGCTCGGATTGGCTCTGTTACTGCAGTTTCATGCATGCTTTGGATGGGAACAAGAAAAGAAATTATTAAACTTGTATACTTTGGACAAATGAGTGGTTGCAATGCATGATGGTCTAAACAGCATGAGACTCAAACTAACTTCCAGCCTTGTATTTGACTCAACATGGAGTTCCAAATTACCTTAATGTTTACACTTACACGTTTCTTTGAGCAAACCAGTAATTTCCTAAGTTCGGAAAAGGAGTTTTTTCTAGCCCAAGCTGAATTTATGTTCTGCATCATTATACTGAGATGCAGACTCAACTGTCTTGACTGATACAGATCACTAGAATGTACATGTATGATTTAAAGATACTTCTTCCTTATTCACCTTGTGACTAGAATGAGGAATTGCTTTACCACCATGCTTCAGTTAGATATTATGGAAATCTGTGCATATCTGTACCTTTTGCAAAACAACCTGTAATATCTCAATACTATATACTTGTAACAATTTAATAAAATTAATTTATAAAAAAATCCTCTAGAGATGAAATTTATATCTTTAGGCAGATTTCACATTTATATCTTATAAGATTTTTCCATTCTAGAGCAATAGGGATGACCCTTAGATAGCTGAATTAATAGCACTTTGAGTGTTACGGATAGCAGAAGGGAATAGAATTTATTTTAGGAAATCTAAAAGTAATACTGTTACTCTTTTTCAGGACTACCAAACCTGGTTAGATTTAAGGGAACTGGAATGTAAAATGGGGGAACGTTACATCACCCATGAAAGTGATGACTCCCGGTGGGAACAGTATTCAGAAGAACATGGATTGCAGTATCCAGCACACCTTATCAGTCCAAGTGCTAACCATAACGAAAACACCAAGCTAGAAGAAACAGAAATGAAAGCCCTCAGTGAGCGTGTCAGCATCCTTTAAGTTGCATCCCCTATAATCTGTCAAAACACTGTGGAATTAATAAATACATACGGTCAGGTTTAACGTTTGCCTTGCAGAACTGCCATTATTTTCTGTCAGATGGGAACAAAGCTGTTATGCTGTTACACTGTTGATATATCTGAGTTGCCAAGACAAATCAACAGAAACATTTTTCTGTGACCAACTGTGTTGTATTTACAAAAGTTCCCAGAAACACTAAACTTGTTATTGTGAATGATTCATGTTGTATTTAATGTATTAAAACCTGTCTCCACGGTGCCTTTTCAAACTAGCGTTTTTCTTACTTGAGCCTCATTTTGGTAAGAGAGAACTTTCCCGTGAAGATCTCGGGTTTTTTTTGTGCATCGTTAGTATTGTAATTGTAAGCAAACTCTTGAAGAGTAGATTATAACTGCTGTTCTGTGAACAACTTCTACCATTTGAATAAAAGCTTTATTTAGTGTTCTAAAAATAGAAAAGGCAAAAAATAAGAATAGAATTGTACAGTTTCAAATCAGATAACGTGTATTTGTGTGTTTGTGTATGTAGATACACATGCACACAGTATAACTTGCTCTTAAGCCTAAATGCCTTAGTAAAATATAAACTGCAGCATGTCAGTTGTATTTCTCCTTTTCTTAAAATATTCTTCTCTATTATGAATATTCTCTAATATGTACATTCAGAAGCTAAATAACGTGTTGACTTTATGTATGTTTTCAATAAAAGTCTTGTTAAAATAGGTTCATTGATGAAACTTTCTGTTTAAAGCAATCCTGGAGTGGCACCAGAAGTATGTAGAATAAATTTATTAATCATTAAGAAGACAGTGTGGAGCTGGGTGGGAAAATGCTACTGGATAACCCCTGTACCTATCACACATATTTTACAAGAACCTAATCAGACTGATTTTGTTCAGTCAGATTTGAAACACGCTGAGGGAGTGGGGAAGTTGAGAATGTGTTAAAGGAATTTTAGTTTTTTGAGAAATGTGCTGCTTGTGCTTTTCTACTGAGTTCCACTGAACTGACAAAGTATTGCAGATCTTTCTTGCCCTTCCTTTAAAGATACTGTCATTTCTAACAATTACTTAGACTACCAATGCTAAGACATTTACTTTTAACAGTGAGAGACATTCAGGCTGCACTATAAAAACACGTGACAGAGTAACGCACTGAAAAGCTGAAATTTATTCTATGCTGTGGTCTGTCGTGGAAAAAAAACAGTTAATATATAGCTATTGAAAACTGAGGTTAACAATTTAAAGATAGATTGGATGAGAAGCAGAAGTATGCAAAGGTGAGAGCTTTGGACCTTTACATATGGTAAAGGACCACTGCTCAAATATTGGCTTTATGTTAGACTCATGAGCTCTTCACTAGATAAATCCATTCTTTCATTGAAGAAGAGCTTTGTCCTGAGAAAATTTTTGCCAGATACATAACATCACTAAGGTCAGAAGAATTTTTCCTCAGTATTTTGCACCTCTGCTGGGTAGTTAGTGTGTACTATAGAGGAAATGAAGAAAAGGCACCTCTATTCAAACAGAAAAAAGTTATAGTCTAGGAAATTAAAAAGTATTGCGAAAAATTATTTATAAATCTCTTCTCCTTCCTCCCCACTTTCTTTCCCTACTCCCACTTCCAAAAAAAACCAAAATATTTTTCTGCTTTAGGTCTCATAATCATGGCCTTTTGACATGTTCTGAAGCAGCTCTTGTCAGGCAAGGTCAAATGTGTCAACTATTCTGCCATGCTGTACTTTCTGCCATACCTATATTTTCTGTCAGGATGTTCCTACGAGACTGAAAATTGGCTAATCATTGGCCATTGTTTATTTTCTTTCAGTCTTAAGCTTAATCATCAATTGACTGTAAAGTAAACATAAAAATAGCTTTGGGCTGATTATCAAATTTTCTGTCAGTAAAAGTGTATGTGCTTGAGTATATTTAAAAGTAAATCCACTTATAGATGCACTGGTGGACTCATGGATATAGAAAGATTATATACATTCCATTCTATGAGCATTCCAGGGGGCAAGTCAAATAAACTAACTTTTCTAAAAGGAAATTAGGAGAATTACCAGACTCATATAAACTTTGTTCAGATGCTGATATCATGAATGCTCATAAGGAGCCTGGACATCACAGAAGTGCCTTAATTTTGTTGTCCCTTGGTATTTACTAGTAACAGATTTAAGCTCTGCTTTCATATTGATCAATTTAGGTGAGCTGGGATTTTATTAGTGACTTGGTTTCATTTACAATTAGTGTACTAACTCTTGAGTGAAGGTAGTTTTCAACAGCACAGATAAATTCTCAGAAATATCAAATAGCATACTGGCACTCTCTTCTTAAGCACGGACTGTAGTGTAGAAACTAAATGAGAAAGCAAACCACTGTAACTTCCAACAGCATGTCTAAGAAGCTGGGTGACAAAAACAAAACCTGCAACTTTCACTGAAGGAAAGTTCTACTGAGTATTTCTACTAAATCCCATGTCTGCTGAATTCTTTCATAACAATGCTTAGCATGCACATGAGTTTGCTAAGCACAGACCTATGTTAATAAACTTTTTCAATCTCATGGGGCACTTTCAGTAAACTGTTTGCCAGTGGAGCAGAGACAAAAGCATAAATTGATTTCTATTCTGAGACATTCTGACTAGCTACTAAACATGGTTTCCAAGGAACTCTTATTACTAGGGGCACATTTCACTTTTCTTCCTCTCCATGCCTGTTTTGTTTTTGTGGAGGTTTTTGAGCACTGAAGCTTGCTTCATCACTTGTGCAAATATTCAATGCTTTTCAAAAAATAATCTGCCAACAGCCAATATAATACATTAAAATTTTCCCTGCTGCTGTTCAAAAATATTACACTGTGAAATTTGAACTGTTTGCATTTCAGCCAGACAGATGAATTCACTGATTCCTAACTTGTAGCCTAAATGGGATCTTGCTCTTCCAGACACATCAGCATCAAAGTGTACTGAAGCAAATCTGGGGTTGTGTTGTCCTGTATAATTTTCCTTTGTATTTTTTACTCAGGAAAATGGAATGGTAAGCTACTCTGTGGTAATATTTCCATGGCCTTTACCATTTTCCATAACAGTTCCTGCAAATGCATCATGGAAACAAAACCAACAGTGGTTATGCTGCATGTAAGTGTTGATCTGAGGATCTGTTGATGGTATTTCCTTTTCAGCTACACCATATCCTATACATATCAAGCACATGTGTACAGGTAATCATATATCTGAACACATGTTTATCGTGCCAAAACTTAGCTGTGGAGTGCAGAGAAGTATCCAACACATACTTGGAAATCAGAATTTCTTATTTATGTTAAGTTGCCATTTTCACTTAAATCCTTGGTAAGTCAGAAACAGTTTATCCAGTGTCTTGTCCAGTTTAACTAAAACAAGGTGAGCAAAAGCCTGTACTTGTACAATTTGTACAGCTCAAGTGTCATGCAGCTGCTTAGCCACATGTCACCATCCATCCATCCATCCATCCATCCATCCATCCATCCATCCAACCATCCATTCATCAATCCATCCACATCTTCACATCATAGGATGGAAAGGAATTCCCATCAGTATGTGTTTTTCTCCCATTTTCTCAGATATGTATCAGAACTCCTCATTCTCATGTTAGAAGGATCTCTCCAAAACCAATTGGATATTATACTTCTCGTGTTTTTCATCCTCCCTCCTCACTCCTGAAAAGCTTTCCTAGAGTCTCACCTCTCCAGCAGTTAGAAAATAGCAAATCCTGTTCTCATGTCAAGGCAATAGCTATCTGTTTTTTGTCTTAATAACAGTCCTTTTTGTTTTAGAGATTATTTGCTTTACATTATTGGATAAACCAACACCTCTTCTGCACACCTGAATTTATCCTGAACCATGAAGTCCATAGATGTGATAGAGAAAATGGTAACAAGCTGATACAGATACATCCTTTCAAATAAGGGAGAAAGGAAAAAAAACCTACTAGACAAATTTTAAGAATTAATCACTAGGTAGGTTAACCCCTATATACTGCTTCAGTCCATAAGACTGGGTGAAAGATCAGAGTTGGGTAATTATGGATTATGGTTCAGTATTATTCAGCTAGGTGTACCAAAATATTGGCATCCTGGAAAAGCTCTACTTCATGCAGATAGTCCAAAGACTAGTACCTGTGGTTGTTCAGCACCATAAACTTATTTAAACTTGCTACTTTCATAGAAAAGCAAGTTAGGTTTTTTTCCCTAGAAAAGTAGGTCATAATGTATGCAACAAAGGAAGTCAAGCATATACTGCACTAGGCACCTTCTGCCTCACCAGAACTGTGGCATCTGAACTAAAATCTCATATTCCTGGGGTTTCCCATGCATATGCCAGGTAGGAAAGAACTCAACCAAATCAAATGTAAACAAGAGAAACTCTCTTGGTAGATCAAGCACTTTCCAGTGGTGACAAATTTGGCATGTGAGTCGGATGCAATTTCACCTTGCTTTTTGCTTACCTTGTTTCTAGCAACTGGACTGAGTCAATGCTGAAATTGGAGCCTACTGGGTGAGTTTATATTTGTCTGTGCTTCTTGATGGATCATTGCTTTATTTCAGTGAAGAACAGGGAGCACACATAAGAAGAGTAAACTATTTTGCTGCCTTTCTAAGCACATCTACAACCTTGAACATCAGCTGCTCACAAATAAGAATTTAATAAAAGTCTACTTTCGTTTCAGACTGCAAACTTGCTCTTTTGAAAGGCTCCATGAAATGAAATGTTTTGCACGGGCATCTAAGCACTAAAGCCCTAAACTAATGGAATCTATCTCTTCTGTGAGTCTGGAGAACCTGAGGCCTCACTCTGCAGAAGTCTGCCAGGCAGGGTGCCAACCAGGGGAGCTACAAGGAAAACAGGCATGATGAAAATGTGCCTTTAAGGCAAATGCCGAAATCTGTAAGCATGTGTGTGCTGCCAAAGTTTGACAAAAATTGGCAGATTCTGTTGAAGTATTTCTATCAAGACAAAGTATTTTTCAATATGAATCTATGATACATTTGCCAACTATAACTTAAATAGTTTTCTGTATAACTTCCAAAATAAATAGTGACTTATTGGTAATGACCTGTGACACTTAATGGGGACTGTTTTTTCAGAGAGTGTTAGCAACTACCCTGTGAAAAGCAAGTAGATGTTGGGTTCCTCTGTTGACTTAGGCATATAAAAACATGAATTATTGAGCAGTTAGGTCACTGAATTTAGTACATGGAAACTTAACTGACATGTTCTTAAAAAAAATAAAACTTGACTTGAGGGACCTGGCTCACATTCACCAAGTAAACAGCTGCAGCAGTTTAAGATGTTACTGTCTCAGCCTCCAGCTGTTTGTTACTGGCCTTATAACAGAGCAAAAATAGAATATTTCAACTCTTCTGGCTGACACTCAGAAGAATCTAAGCACAGTTTTTATCTTAATGTTTAAGTTAATTTGTCCAATTGTGAATTAGAGCTGTGATGCTTCATTCTGCCAGCTCTGACATCTGGAAAAGGAGCAGGAAGAAGGGTGAGGGCATTCTGCTGCTGTATCTGAGTTTGCCAGAAGTCACAGGTCAGAGTACTTAACTGTATTTCTCAAAAGTAAATTATGCTTGCAAGCATGAATCCCTGAGGGTTTCTAGGTGTTTCAGGCTTTCTGATTTCTTCTGAAATAGGATTTAATGTCTTCAGAGACTAATTAGACACTG